CCCCCTTCCCCCCCCCCCCCCCCCCCCCCCCCCTCATACGCCTCGCCTCGCCTCGCCTACCAGCACCAGCACCAGCACCAGCACCAGCAGCCACTCAGTCTTTCCCCTTCTCTCGATCCGGCGGGGCCACATGACCCATCAGCAGTGAATGCTCTATATATACCTGTTTTACACGAACGTGCCTTTTTTGCGATCCAGCAGCAGCAGCAGCAGAGACGAGTGTTGCATTCTGTAAATGCGTCCTTTTATTATTCGCGATCGATCGTCATATATGGTGCAATAATTGGTAAAATTCGTCAAAGTCTGTCGGTGTTGCGAAACGACCAGCAGCAGCAGCAGTCAATCAATCACAGCAGACCTGTGCCCTCTCTCTCTCTCTCTCCAGTGCTATCTTCTCGCACAGTCAGTGCATATATACAGCACTGTATTAGGGACCAATCGAGTGTTGAATACTGTATGTACTGTGTATATACAGCTTGTGCGTTATTCCCTCGCCTAGAGTAGACCATGTGCAGTGCAGTGCAGTAATATACACTTTATACAGAGTATACGTACTGTACCACGACATTAAAAGGCCATGTGCAACTCGACTCACTCCAAGGACCTACCGTACATGTACGGTACATATATGAGGCACGTATCACGAATGCAGCAGCTACTGTTTATATATGTGTATAGCTTGCAGGAATGCGCATTTCATTTCCGGGATACAATTGGTGGCACGTTTTATTCATTTTTCATTTATTATCTTGCTCATCTGCTTGTTGTTGAAAGTAACAAAGCAGTTATTGGAGTGGCGTGCAATGCACTCAGCATAGGCATCAAGCATCAGCAGTCGGGTATTATTCTCCGTACAGTAATTGGGAGCAGATCCATGTTTCCGGTTTGCATTCAGAAAAAAGGTGCGCGGTTATATATATATATATATATACTGGTTGTACTGTCGTACCTATACATTCAATTAATGCGTGTACAGTACATCATCAGCACCTGGGAATTCAGAGCAATGAGGAGGAGGAGGAGGAGGTCCATGTTTCTCTTTTCGTGACGAGTCAGCTGTCTTTCTCTTGCCCCTCCCGAAGCATCAGCATTACTGATGGTGATGATGCGTATACGGATTCTGCATACAATACTGTACAGTACAGTACAATGCATCCAGCAAGTCGCACGACTGCAGTACAGCTACTCTTTACACAGTCCTCTTTATGATGAAAGATTAGAGTCGAAACAAGGCCGTTATTATTCCGGTGTATCTCGACTCGGGCAAATTTCTCGATGATGAGGATCGAAAAGTATCAAGGAGAAGGAACGCGTTCTGATTGATTGATTGACTGGGATGGAGGTACGGTAATCTTGTTGTATCCAGTGAGAATAAAAGACAGGGATTACTGGACTGTGCAAACCATTAAAGGGGGGTCGGAGATCCCTCTCGCTATTTGTGCTGCGACCCTAGGGCTCAATTTTTCATTCATTCTTTTTATTTCTGCATGGTCGAAAAATGACCAAGTACTGTACGATACAGTGCAGACTTCACTGTACAGGACAGTCAAGTCTACTGCGCGTGCGCATCATGCGAGAAAGCAATGGTGAATAACGCAGTCATCGCCGAGTCGAAATGTGCCATGCTCTGCTGTACTGTTATAGTGCTCATCATCATCATGGTTTGAAGGCGCTGCAGTCAGCACATCAAGTGATGGACAGTACATTTAATCTCACCAGAATACGCGGTACTGTACTGGAATAATAGAAGGGCGTGAATGCAAAAAGAGAAGAAGGAGAAATCGAAAAGTAAAGTAAAAAGAAAAAGAGAAAAGAGAAAGAAAGAGGGCCAAGGGCTTCATTTCATCCTCCCTATATATTTACGATCGCAGATTGGCGGTGATTCCGTTTTTGTGTATACGTGCGACGTCGTATAGGTATAGTGCTGGCACCACCTAGGGTTCCGTGGACGCACAGGCAGTATAAGCAGTCGTGCCCGTGGTCGAGGTCACTGTAGTGTAGTAGTATACAGTTTTATTGAGTACTGCTGAACAGTAGTCTTCATCGATCAGCAGCAAGCAGTGCGGTGCAGTGCAGTGCAGTGCAGGGGTGAGTGTGTGCAGTAGTACGAGGAGTAGGATGCCGACACGCGACAACGGCGTGTGAGCTGCGTGTGAGGATGCGGTGGACAGCTGAGGTCATGGCGACGACCCCGCTGCTGGTGGCGGCGGTCCTGATGGTGGTGATGATGCCAGCCGCGGTGTCCAGCATCACCGGTGCCCAGTTCCAGCAGACCAACACGTTCGTGGATCCGCGCGGGTTCGGACTCGGGCCAGACCATAGCATCAGCACCAGGCAACGTCACCATCAACACCTGCACCCGGCAGCAGCAGCAGCAGCATCAGCTGGTGCTGGTGCTGGTGCTGGGCCACCATCAGCCCTCTCACACCACAGCAGCAGCAGCAGCAACACCAACAACATCAACAACCCCCGTCCACCTTCAGCCCAGACCCCGGTCACCCCCATGCTCGGCCCCATCCTGCTCAAGAATGACTCCATGCCCGTCATCCCGCTTTTCTCGTACGCGAGCGTCATCAACGGCACCTTCTACCAGATCCCGGTAAGCGCGTTTACTGTTACAGCATTCTACTTCTTTTTTTTTTTTTTTCCTTTTTTTCCCCCATAATACGGTACTCTAGCAGTTGATGATCGATGTACCAGTGCTGATGGTGCCCACTTGGTCGATCAGGTTGGTTGGGTGGGTGATGCATGGGTGATGGCGGGTCACATGATGGCCGAGGCTGCGCGGTCATCACAAGAAGGCTTATTTAAGAAGTACAGCTCATTAAAAAAAAAACAAAACAAATATAGTACAGTAAATGAAGGAATGGAAAAGAAAGATGCCAACTGCAGCATGGAGCGAATCAAATTCAGGGTATATCTCCCAATAATAACCGGCATATGGCCCATAATGCTGCAAAAGTCCTAATAATGCTTCAATTAGCTGGCCGCCTGTGACATTCACCTGGACGAAAACCAGCCCTATCATTACATGTTCAACAGGTGTTGATTTCACACCGTTCAAACACGGTGCAGGGTGCATGAAAGTACTGCACAGTGCATACTGTGAGTTACATTTTAGAATTATTCCAGACTTAATGCCAGTCTTGAAAAAGTTGAACCTTATTGATTGACCTGCTGCGGAGGAACATGCATGCTGTGGAATTGTTTCGAAAGGCGTCAATAGTCCTTCATTATCCGTCCGCCAAACACTATTTATTACTGATATTTTTACATGTACGAAGGTAGAATGTAGATGCCGAGTACTGTACTGTACATTCTTTGTCATGGTGCTGATGCTATTTTGAATTGCAAGTACAGTACAGTACAGTACAGTACAGTAGCGATAATAAAGCACACGAGGGAAATATCTTGCGGAATTTCAAAAAGAAAAGAAAAAAGAAAAACCTCATTCTGCAACAAGTGGATGGATAGATTGGATGCTCAGAACCTAAAGCAAGTCGTCCCCTTATTTTCCAAATGCGTCTCTCTCGTGTGTGCTGGACGATGCTGTGACTTGAGCAACTGGACCAGCAGCAGCAGCAGCAGTAGCAGCAGCAGCAGCAGCAGCAGCAGCAGCAGCAGGCAGGATGGATCGAGTCGCAGGACGCAAACACGCTTGCTGCCCGTTTAATTGCTAAGCAAGCAGAGTTCACGGCCGGCGACGACTATGTACAGTACTGCGGCACATGCCAGGGAAATCATCTCACTGTTAACAGTACTGTACAGTACTCGTGAACTCGTCCCTTATGTACAGTACTGTACTGTACTGTATAGGTCGAGCTGTCGGTTCAATTTCCAATAAGTTATTGCAATAGGGAAGGGATTATCCGCCATGCTGCATGGGGCGGGATCGACCCGACAGACAGACACACAAGGATGAAAAGGAAAAAAAAAAAACAATTGGGGAATAATTTCTGAATAATGGACTGAACCCTGGTGTAATACTGTAAATTAATGGACGAGTGAGAATGAAATTGGGGAATGAATCCTGGGTGATGATGCTGCAATATTTTTCTCCTGCGGGTATCGTACCCCCTGTATTTTATGCTGTATTCTCACTATACTGTACTGTACTGTACTGTGCAGGACAGCCAAGGAAAAGTACTTCATCGTATTTTATTATACACTGCTGCACCACAGCAATGCTAATGTGTACAGTATATATACGTCTGCATGTGTCTCAATTGGAGGCCGGTGGACTGATAAGCAGTCACGTTATAGGACAGTATTTTGCATACATGCTCTTGCTTGAGCTCAATATTATTATTATTGTTATTATTATTACAGTACAGTACTGTACTGCATGACGTGAAATCAGTAACATTGGGCATACTACGGCAACATTGAAAATGAAAACAAGAGTTTCAAGTCAAGATGCCGCCTGTTCCTTCGTTCGTATCCCCCCTTCCATTTATTTATTGCTGATATGGTTGGTTTCATCAAATCAAATCAACCAGCAGCAGAGTTCAAAAGTGGACAGAAGCGTCTACTCAGGGCCGCTGCCCACGCTGCATGGTGGTGGTCAGTGGCGGCCTTATTAGGGTGGGGCGAGAGGGGCGGCAGCCCGAGGCCCCGCACTTGAGGAGGGCCCCACCGTCCTGTGCATGGCTCTGAAAATTAGCTGTCCCCTAAAACATTTTTTCACTTGCCTTGAAACTAGGAGTGGGGTCCCTTTACAAAAGGACAAGTTTATTCTTACCTCTTTACAAAGTTTGCTGAAAAGTAATCTGATCTACAAGTAGAGCACAACAGATCCAACAATGCATTCAGAATAATATTGGCACCAGAGCCTACTGCATTCACATTTTTCAATCTTCAGTGAAATGTCTGTTGGAAATCAAAATTCAGGAAAGAGTAGGGTTTCCTTAATTTTAATCTGACGAAAAATTGCAAATGAATGCATTTTCACATTTTATAAGGTCTTGTTGAGTCGTTATCAAGAATAATTTTGAATAGAAACAATATGCATCTTGAATTTTGAAACACCATGAAATAATGGCAATCCTCAATGTTAAACTTTTCCATGTAGTTTATGCAATGATGGTCCAATTTTCAATCAAAATTTCTAAAGATATGGTGCATCAAGATTACAATGAAATTCACATTCATTTGTCATGACTTTGGAATACATATACTGTATGCTGCTATCTCTATTACAGATGAAAAATTATTGTTGCTGGACCTTGCTGAAGTACAGTACAAACTCTACTGATATTAAGTATCTCTTGTAATTGCATTTGCAGTGTATACCTGGCAAACCCCTCACAAACAATTCCTTTTAAATCCCCCTGAATGGAAAGTTTTTGGCTTTAAAGCAAGTCCCTTGCTGGTAAAATTAGCATGCAGTAATACCTTTCTGTTATAGAATGGGGGCCAAATTTTAGAGAAGTTGTTCCAAAAAATGAGAAAAATAATAACTGATGTTTTTCAAAACAGATAAGCTACTGTACATTTCTACATTTTAGTAATGTGTGAATAATTAACAATGATAAGAAGGCAAGAAAATGAATTTCTTGATGAACCTGTAAACAAATTGGGCCATAATCCTAAAACTTGAAAACTGCAGTGAGATATTTTTTCAAGTCATTTCAAATTCAACCTGATGATATTCAGCATTATAACGGATACAGATACATTTGTCAGAATTACGCATGCAAGAAATTTCATTTAATCTGCTGAATGTTAACATAAATGAATGCTGAGCTGCTTAATTTGGTCTCAGGAAGATGATAGCCATTGAGTTTTGATTAGCAGCACTTATTTTCTGCAGTAATTATCTTTGTTATTACAATCATTTTATTTGCAATGGTCATTTTGGTTGGTTATTGTGAATTTTTAAAATTTGAATGTGCAACCATGCAGCCAAAACAACCAATTCTACCTTTAAAAAGTAAAAGATGCTAATACAGTATACTGTAGAAATAATTGAAAAAAATGTCAAAAAGTTTATTTTAAAAACTTGCTAAAGACCTTTTTATAGCTTCCAAGAAATGTAGTTGCATTTGCAGCTTTACTTTAATTTAAATGTAATCTTTCATTGTTCAAATGCTATATTTGAGAATTGGCAGGGGCCCCGCATTTGACATGTCTGCCCCAGGCCCCGCAAACCCCTCTGGTGGTGGTACAGTACTTCTTGACCGCCGGTTGAATTTCGAGCCACTGCAGAGGATGTCCAGTATAGATATCCACTAGCAAGCAAGCAAGCATATATCGGACCTTGATGCTGCGGTCCAATGAAAACCAGCACCGGCCAGCTCAGCTAGTGCAGGATTGACTCCACATCAATCGTGCAGAAAACGCACGACGAGGGAAGGAAAGGGCGGCTGCTTGCTGAATGCATGTGGGTCTATAACTCATCTAAAGACAATACTGTATGACCCCATGCAGTACGTACTGTACTTGACTCAGTACAGTATCTCTTGAAAATGCCGCCTTTTTGAATGTACAGTAGAGTATACATGCAGTATTTGGAAGTGAACAACATGCACCAGCAAGGCGTAACTGACCATCCAGACGAGAGAGTCCAGCTGTGCGTACTACCAATAACCTGCGCTAACCGCCCTCTGCTGCTGATGATACGCTCAAGCCCACGCATGTATGATGGCCAATCGTTAAACAGGATACGCTGTATAATTCCTATTTATTGTAGGCACAGGTGTACTGTATACTGTACTGCTTTCTGCAAGGTACTGAGGGCTCACAGCAGTATAACTGCAGGCCCAATTAATCCCAGTCATCAGCAGCACCCCCTATATACAGTACTTTGTGTGACGGGCATGTCATGTTGGACTCTTGAACGTACTGTACTGTATACTGTACACAGTCTCTATACGTACTCTGGGTCATAATGTGGTGGTGTATACTGCATATATAAATATATATATATATATATACATACAGCAGTACACATACAGTAAACTATGTGACGATGAAGGCCATCATCATATTCCTTGCACTTGATGATGATGATGCTGTAATGAATGTGCTACAGAATGCACTGTGTATATCCTGTATAAACAGATCCTGTGGACGGCGCTGTCCGTGGCCCTCGGCGTGGACATTCGCGGCGACATCATCCGAGGCCTGCCTTGCGTCAAGATGCTGCACCAGCTTCTCTGCACCCGACCGGGCAACACGTATCCGTCGTGAGTGACTCTTTCCTGACGATGCTGCTCTTGACTTGTGGATTATATCCAGACTTGTACTGAATGCGTACTGTCAGTATCGTATAATATAGGTATATACAGTACTATACATATATATATATATATATATATCGTCCTCGTATAGTCAGCATCATCACCACCATATATACTGTACAGTACATTTCAAACTCATCCGGCTTTATTTGATGAAATTCCAATGGAAATTCTTGTCCATCTTTCCCAAGGATTTTCCGTCATCTTTTCGATTCTAGCTTGTTTTTCAACTTGTCTTGCTCCTGCTGATGGTGCGTCGAATTTCCCAATATACGGACAGTGTGCTCTGCTGTAATAATAATAATAATGTCCTGCTCGTCGTCTTGAATAAGAGAGATGAGGAGAAAAATGAAATGAAATGAAAGATACAAAAGTCATCAGCAGGTAGGTATATACTGTACCTCCTTCCAAAGTCATTTATTCAAGCCCGTCTCTGTTGTTGTTGTTGTTGTTTGGAATACGAGGTACTGCGCATTATTCTTGTTTTTTTTTTTTCAACACGACTGCACGCACTCGTCCTCAACTATGCACAGTACAGTACTGCTGTTTATTAGAAAAACATTAAAAAGGGAGTCGTCGAAAAAATGCTCGAGTGTGCTTTCCGAGAAAAGCATCGTAATGTATTTTGAAAGAGCTTTGCAGCATTTGCATATCAGGTTTGCCTTGGGCAGAATTGGAAATGTTTTCCCCACATCACATGCAGTGAAATACTAGCTCACGCAGAAACCGAGGCAAAGAATGCAGAAATGGAGCTGATTTCAGCTACTGTATATAGAAATGACGATTTGGTTGAAATAATGCTGGAGTCTATTGTACTATTGGACTTGCAGACACGCCATCGAGAGATTCATCGACGACAACAAGGCCCTGATCCGGAGGATGTATGGCGAGTTCGGCTCATCGGCCGACGAGCCCTTCTCGTCGTCGTCGTCGTCCTTTATTCGCGGCAAGCGGGACGTGTTCCACTCGGACTTTTGGCGGCGCCAGCCTCATCATCATCGTCATCAAGAGCAGGACTCGAGCGTGTCCTCGTCTTCATTACCAGCAGTGCCCGAAGACGACGTTCAACATGCTGGAGACTGGATGATGAAAACCAGCAGTAATGCCAGCACCCCCGACATTCACCAACGAGCCCGTCGCGCACCAGCGACTTTAATGAAGACTCAGCAGCACCATCAGCGTCGTCGACAACAACAACAGCAGCAGCAACAGACTGCTGCATCATCATCATCATCATCATCACAACAACCACCACCACCACCACCGTCGAGTGACGAAGACGCCGACTCTTCTCATCGGTCAGTCATCATTATTGTCACCTCAATACAACAGTACTGCACATGAATAATATACACGTCTTGACGCATGTTTCGCTCCGATATATAGTACAGGGCAGTACAATATTTCGTATGTATGCAGTACATTTAATTAGTCGTCGACCAACGTTTCCGTCGAATCACGCATGAGGCCACATCCATCCGAGCTGATGGATGAAAGTACGCGGCAGATTCAGACAGTCAGCTATACATACTCTGACTTGATCAATACTCTACTCAGCAGTACGTGGCCTATAAGCTGAGAAAACCGAACGACTTGATTCCTCTCCTCTGTTTCCTTATTTGAATCAACAGCTATTCTACAGTATACATTCAAAGGAAATAACAGTTGCGCATCCAGTACGTGGTAGTGACGGGTGTAAACAAGCACTGTACTGTACAGCATATGGGCATGGTTGCCTCGTCTGGTCTGATGAATGCAGCAAAACCAGAAACGGGGCTTATCTCAGCAGGTATATATATATATATATATATATATATATATATTGTTGTGTATATTTACACTTCTTTATATTTAAGATTCGGTGTCAACGTGGGCTCACGTGTGTGTATATCATCAGGTATTTTCCCGATGATAACAATATATATATATATATATAGTCACGAGTCTTGAGAAAGGAAAGCCCAACAAGAATATGTACAGTGTAATGCTACAGCATCCAGGACACTTGTCGCATTTCCCCTCGTCCGTTTGGCTCATGCAATATACAGTACAGTACTGCATCACTATAGCAGGAGCTGTAGAGTACTGTATACTGGAATTGGAATGCAGTCCCTGCTGCTGCAGCGTACATATAGTGTTTCCATAGTATCCAGCATCAAATGCAGTACAGTAATTCTCTTTTCTTTTATTTTTTTATTGCGCGGTACTCGGTCTGGAGATCTGGATGAGGTCGATGCTATGTACGGTGGATGGAATGCATATTACGGTATACAGTATACGGTACACATGATGCACGCGTACATGGATGGAGTACATATGCACATATATCAGTCTGATGAGTAGTGATATTGTGCGAGCACTGTATGCGCATTGCTGCATGTATCGGTCCCAAAATGCATAGCTTAGCAGTGCAGTACCTCTGCTGCTGCTGCTGCTGCATGATTATTCTCATCACGTTTCATTCTGCACGCCTCATCGGAATCGATCGTGTTGCAGGGCTGACGCTTGTCAATCCAAGACGGAAGTCGTGACGCCGTACTGGGCCTCCAACTCGGCAGGGAAAATCCGTGCCATCGTCAACACGCAGCACTTTGAGCAGGCCATCTACCAGGAAATTTGCCAGTGAGTTTTCCTCCATCCATGTGTGTGTGCCTGCCTCTGATTCCGCATGGTATAGCTACAGCAGGTTCATCCTTGGAAAGTACTGTACAGTACTGTAAATAATAAACAGGGATACAGTTACACAGGAGCAGTGTCAAATAATATCCTGCACACTCGTTCCTTCCTTCCTTCCTTCCTTACAATGTTGCACTCTAATTAAGTACTGTACTGTACTGTACTGTTTATATTCACGCAGCACGGGAAGACAAACGCGGCACTGCGCGGGCGGCTGCAGCTGCGAGCAAAAGTACAAGTGGCATCGGCTGCTGGCCTACGACCCGGACAACGACTGCGCTGGCATCTTCATGGACTGGTTCCTGTTCCCGTCCTGCTGCGTGTGCAGATGCGACCAGCACCAGCAGTAGTAATACAGTACTGTGACACCAGTATACATGCAGTACCGCCTGGTGCATACTGCGTGGACCCACCTGTGCTGTGCTGTGCTGTGCTGTACTGTACTGTACTGTACCACTCTCATGCAGTGATGATGATGATGGCTCATTCCTCCCCTTCCTTTACTGATCGATCTGCATCCTCATCGTCGTCCTCATTCACCTCCTGATGCTGGCCCGCGGGGTGGGGCTCGAGTCGACGACGACGAGTGACATGCAGCTTAGATGATTCTTGATTCATTCCTCATCACTCATCCACCGATAGCCATCTATCTCACTTTGTCTTGCAGCATACATACATACATACATACATACAAAACATAAAAATACAGGCGAAAGACGCACTCTCTCTCTGTCTCTCTCTCTCTCTCAGAGAGAGAGTAGAATACATGCATCACCAACTCATGGGAGCAAAATCCTTCAATTCCTGCAGGTGCATGCTATTAGGCTGATCATTTTCAAAATGCTGTATAAGCGCAACTCATTCCTTTCCTTCCTTCCTTCCTTCCTTCCTTCCACGCAATATGCCACTTATTAGCGCCAGCATTCACGGTATTATTACATCAGTGTTCTGTCCGCCATGCACATCATGACTTATTGTAATCCGGATGATTCAACGAATAAAGAACTTTTTTCGGCTCATCCTCATCGACCGGTTGTTTCCCCACCCACTTTTCCGTGCTACCGCAGAACGGTGCTGTGCATGTACTGTGCAACAGCTGCATGCAAATATTGTAATGATAAGTCAGTTATTATGAGCCGTTCGTTGCGTCTCAGCATCACTCGAAAAGAAGTCCATGTGTGGAGTGCAGCACTGTACCGAACATGTATTGAGAGCCTCATCATCATCATCGTCATCATCAAGAACGACCGAGAAAACAAGAGAAAATAATGAACGCCAGATGATGAGTCTGAGCTGTGAGATCGCGATTAATGAATTTCCGTGACTCGGTCTGCATCACGACCACTGCTGCTGCGTCTGCACATACACACATACATGCATACACACATACATGCATCACATGCACAGTGCGTACAGTAATGTACTGTATATACGTTATACGGTACGCACTCGCGTCCTCGTCGTTCCACGCCGGAAAGACATACCGGCGTGCTTTACTGTGCTGTACTGCATGTACAGTACGGTACAGTATACGGTGCAGGCGTAAAGCAGCTTACGGGAATCACGTGAAGCTTATTATTGATGATGTTGCATCTCCATCGCGGAACACGACACGAACGCCGTACTCGTACAGCACACAATACCAAGTTGCAGGCAGGCAGGGAGGCACTACACCGCCATGCATTATTATCAAGGCTGGTCACGGAGTCAGTCATCGTCCTCACGTACCGGCACGTTGCTGATGCTGACACGTGCTGGACTGGCCGGTGACGATGATGATGATGCTGCTGCTGCAGATGGCCATATGCTCCATGGATCTACGCGCAACACAATGAAAGAATAATAATACAGTCAAACCCCGGTTAAAAAGCTTAATTCGTTCCATGAACTGGTTTGTTAACTGGTTGGTTCGTTAACTGAAAGGTGGTCCTTCATAGGCTTACATGTTGAAAATTTTAATTTGTTCCAAGTTTTCAAAAATGTTTCCCAAAAACTAAACTTTAAAATTCTTTTAAAAATGGAATTAAAAACCGATTTTCAAATACTTTACAGCATTTTATGCGCAAAGATGTCCTCTGTCTTATCCTTTAAATGCCCAAATCTCGAAAGTTGATGGAATTAAAATCAAAAATGTAAAAACATGTTTTTAAATTTTACAAAAATCATCAAAAAAATGTTTTTACTTTTTGAATTTTAGCTGTTTCAATTTGCAACATTTTTCCATGAAAAAACAGTAAACTTTTAAAACATCAGTGTGCATGACACCCATGAAATATTCTTCAACTATCATCAAAAGCAAATAAATTAGAATGAGCTAAACTTAAAAGTTTGAATTCTCTTTTTCCATTTTTCTTCCAAATTTTTCATATTTTAAAATTTGCCAAAAAAGTAATTATGCACGGAAATACAACTTTTTAACTGCATTATATAAACATCATGAAGTACTCTACATTTCCCATTTTTCAAACCTTAAAAATAATTTAAATTGACAAAGGTGAAAATGAGCATGCAAAACCTTTTCAAAATCCATTACAAAATTTTTTTTTCAAATCTGAAAATTTATTCCAAATTTCTTCCTTCACCAAACTTCAAATTTTCAAAGGGATTAGAGGCAAAGAGATTTCTCTGAATTTTTATGTTTTTTGTTGAAAAATCTAGCAAATTAAAAAATGTATGAGAAGCAAACTAGAACTTTAAATTTTTTCTCTCTAATAACTGTGCTTCATTGTTTAATTTATTGAAAAAGCATAAAATGCAGGTGTTCTACAAATACAGAAAGTCAAAGTTTTTTTCAATCTTCCAAGTTTCTTTACAAAAGGGGGGACATTTCAAAAAACAACCCCTCTCAAAAATTTCCACTTCTTAAAAAAGGTGAAACAAACCCCATTTAAAAAATGGGGAGAATTTCCCCTGTTTCCCAAAGAAAGAAAAGAGGAGGAAATTAAAAAACAACTTTTTTTGTTTAAAAAAAGGGGAGATTTCTTTTCTGGGTTGAAAATTAAAAAAACACTGACATTCTGAAACTGCACAACCCCTGAACTTTATGCACCCTCAATACATTAAACAATGAAGCAGTTATTAGTCATTCAACTACAAAATAAAAAAAGTTCCAATTTTTTATTGTAAATTCTTTAATTTTGTACATTTTTCAACACAAAACATGAAAATTCAACAAAAATTCGGCAGCTCTAATTCCTTTGAAAACTCAAAGTTTGGTGGAGAGGAAATTTCCCATTTTAAAATATTTAATGATTTTCTATGTCCAGAGAAGATTGAAAATGTTTCATGCTCAAAAAATTATAGCTCATTGAATTAAGCAAGAAAGTAGAATTTGTTAGATTTTGCAATTGAGAGTATGCATCAGTAAGCTTCATTGTTTCATGTATTGACAGTGCATGAAGTGCACAGTCATTATCAAAAGAAGCACAGTTAAAAGAGCACATTGTTGAAAGAACCACAATTAGTAGAGAAACAAAACATTTAAAGTTCTAGTTTGCTTCTCATACATTTTTTAATTTGCTAGATTTTTCAACAAAAAACATGAAAATTCAGAGAAATATATTTGCCTCTAATCTCTTTGAAAATTTGAAGTTTGGTGAAGAAGGAAATTTTGCATACATTTTCAGATTTGAAAGAAAAACTAATTTTGCAAGAACGGATTTAGAAAAGATTTTACATGCTCCTTTTCACCTTTGTTAATTTAAACTTTTTTCTAGGTTTGAAAAATGGGGAATGTAGAGAACTTCATGATGCTTATTTAATGAAGTTTAAAAGTTGTATACATACATACATTATTACTACATGTATACATTATTACTTATTGATAAATTTAAAAAAAATGAAAAATTGGGAAGAAAAATGGAAACAAGAATTCAAACTGCTTAGTTCAGCTCATTCTAATTTATTTGCTTTTCATGAAAATTGAAAAATATTTACAAGGTGTCATGCACACTGATGTTTTACAAGTTTACTGTTTTTTTCATGGAAAAATGTTGCAAATTGAAATTGAAATAGCTAAAATTCAAAAAGTAAAAACATTTTTTGATGATTTTTGTACAATTACCAGACGGTTCGTGAACCGGGGTTTGTCTGTAATAATAATGATGATGAGCGTCTTATTTCTCGAGGGCGTGTGCTGCTGCAGGGATGATGATTAATCGTACAGTACTGCTGTAATTGATGAATGCCCTACACGGGATTCGTATAATACTGTAGGTCACATGTACAATCCTGCACTGTATACAAAACGATTAAGGTCACTAAAACACACATGACGAATGTACTGCATAGACGTCATATGCACAAATATATATATATAGCGTATATAGTGCATGTATATAATACTGTACTGTACAGTACAGTACAATACATGTAGTGTAGTGTACTGTATACGACGAAATGAACATCACAAGATAGTTTTACTCGCTCATAGCTGTACTGCACTGTACAGTACTACTCTTTTCCTTGAATGTCATTGTACCAAGTACTGTACTCTTTACAACTACAATACAAGCTAGTAACAGTACTGCATGCATGTACTCATGACCTGGGATCATTTGTAACGCTGCACGATCCAAGTCTCGTGCTCCTTGCCGTCGTTGTCGGTCCACTTCCAGACTTTGAACTTGTAGTCCTGCGCCTGACCTTCGCGGTCGGAACCAGCAGGGCCCGGCTTTTCGATAGGCAGCCGACGGAAGCGGGTCCCGAACCGGTCCTCGCCGTAGTAATCGTTGTACCTTATGATACAGAACAACAGTACAATCACAGTAACAGTACAGTATAGTAACAGTGTGCAGGATCACGTCACGTGGACTATATGCAGTGCACATCAGCAGCACTGTATATACATACATACAGTACGTGCACGGTGATTACACTGGACATTCCAAGGATGACGAGCCGAGTACTGTAAAGTAATGTATTGTATTGCGTTCGTCCCTCGACTCCCTCCCTCCCTCCCTCAGCATCGCACGTTATTTTATTCATCATGCATGACATGCATCGTCGCCTCTTCATCTATCGTCAATAATAACAGTGAGCCTTGCCATCACCGATAACATGCACATCATACGTACTTGTACTGCTGCATCTACAGTACTGTACTGTACTGCATATATTGTACATCCACATGATGATATGAACGCTATAGCTGGAAAGTCTACTTGTCTGGCTCGCCACGTAGGAAAAAGTACACAGTAGCATACACCAAAGTGCTGTGCTGTACTGTATACTCTACTTACGCAAACAGTATTGTACTTTGCGTAGGCAGGAGTCCAGCTCAGCTCCAGTAGTACAGCACTGTGATGTTCATGTACAAAGAACATCATTGCGAGTGGTACGCGCAAAAGCGACCAGAGCTGTGGCGGTTCGGTGAAGGGAAGAGAGACACAGTCCTGATATACGAGGGTTCTAACAAAAGTTCTTGGAGTAGAAATGAAAATGGCTCACAGCTGGCCTGAAAATAATTTTTTCTTTAGGGAAAATGTGTTCTTTGGCACATGAAAAATATCAGCCCAGTTTGACAATTTTTTTTTTAATTTTTTCATAATTTACCCTGGTAGAGTTCTACTCTCCACTCAAAAGACGAGGCGCCCTTTTTTTTGTTGTAGCCCAGCTTTCCTCTCAGAATTTTTAAAATCAAAAAAAAGGGCGCCTCGTCTTTTGAGTGGAGAGTAAAACTCTGCCAGGGTGAATTATGAAAAAAATGCAAAAAAAATTGTCAAACAGGGCTGATATTTTTTTATGAGAACTTTTGTTAGGACCCTCGTACAGTATACTGCACTGTACTGTAGAGTTCATTACTACCGTACTCTGCCCGCCTCGGCCCTCTGCCTATCCTAAACAGAACACTGCTGCTGGACGACTTCGAGCCACGTACGTGCTGCACGCAGCAGAGTAGAGTAGAGTAGAGTAGAGTAGAGTACAGCACTGCACGACTGCACATCAGGCAAGACGAGAAACTGCGGTTCAGTACTGCATGCAGATGAATATAGTCATCCGGGATGATGACGTGAGGAAA